CTGCTCGAAAAAGTCCATTAAGACTCTTCAGCTGATCCAGAATGCTGCAGCACGTGTTCTGACAGGAACCAGGAAAACAGATCACATTTCTCCTGTTTTAGCTTCTTTGCATTGGCTTCCAGTAAAATCCAGAATAGAATTTAAAATCATTCTTCTCACCTACAAAGCTCTTAATGGTCAGGCACCATCTTATCTTAAAGAGCTCATAGTACCTTACTACCCCACCAGAGCACTGCGCTCCCAGAATGCAGGGTTACTTGTGGTTCCTAGAGTCTCCAAAAGTAGACTAGGAGCCAGAGCGTTCAGCTATCAAGCTCCTCTCCTGTGGAACCAGGTTCCAGTTTGGGTTCAGGAGGCAGACACCATCTCCACATTTAAGAGTAGGCTTAAGACTTTCCTCTTTGATAAAGCTTATAGTTAGGGCTGGCTCAGGTGAGTCCTGAACCATCCCTTAGTTATGCTGCTATAGGCCTAGATGGCTGGGGGATTTCCCATGATGCACTGAGCTCCTCTCTCCTCCTCTTTCTCTCTCTCTGCATGGAACCTCATCCCATTATTGCATGTTACTAACTCGACTTCTTCCCTTTCCCGTAGTCTTGTGCTTTCTCGTCCCTCCTCTCTCTCCTCCTATCACTTCCTGCAGGTGTTTCTGGCTCTGGAGCTGTGGAGTCTGGATCTGTGGCTGCGGGTCACCTGCTGCCCCCGTGTTCCTGCTCGACATCCTCTGTTACAATTATTGTTACTACTCCTATTGTTATTACTGTAAATATCTGTACCATTATTCATTCAGTCTATACCAACATCACCTTTACTGTCTGTACCTCTGTGTGTATATTGCGTAGGCTGCCTCCCTCCTCCCTCCTCTCTCTCTCCTTCCATCCCCCTCCCTCTTTCTCTCTCTCTCTCTTCCCCCCAACCGGTCAAGGCAGATGGCCGCCCACCCTGAGCCATGGTTCTGCTCAAAGTTTCTGCCTCTTAAAAGGAAGTTTTTCCTTGCCTCTGTCGCCTAGTGCTTGCTTTTGGTGGGAACTGTTGGGCTTCTGTAAATATCATCATAGAGTATGGTCTAGACCTGCTCTTTTATGAAAAGCGCTCAGAGATAACTGTTGTTGTGATTTGGCGCTATAAATAAAATTGAATTGAATTGAAATGCAAAAAACGGGAAGTGATGTTGTTTTTTGGGACCTTATGTGTCATGCCTTCACGAGGGGCTGTGTGAAATTTGGTGTCAATCGGCCTCTAGGTGGTGCTGTTCATTTATATCAAATGACACTCCCATAGACATACATTAATTGTATATCGTCATAATCACAAGTCCCGTTAATGTAAAACTCAGGTAATTCATTTACCACCAGCCCCCATTGCCGTGTGCAACATTTCATGCAATTCGGACAATAGGTGGCGCTGTTATTGCAAACTCAAGGGTGCAGGAAAATATAATTTCAATACACAGGATTTTCACATTATGCCGGCAATGTCATTCGTCAGCTTGGCTCCCTCGTCGTCCACGGGGTGCCGGGGTGGGCTTGCGCGGCCTCTGCGGGGCAGGGGGCACGGTTCGCGTCGTGTGGCTTGGACCCCTATCACAACTGCTTGCAGTTCCAGTTGTCTTTCTGGCTGTGTGTCTCCTGCAGGAAAACTATGTCTAATCTCTTCAGTGTGATCATTTCTGAAATGACCCACCATTAATATTTAAAGGGCAGACCCTCACCTTCATAAAAGACAGCGAGAAAGAGATGAAATCAGGAGGTAGAGAAAACGATAAGAGGAAAATCAACCTATGAAACACATTAGTGACTTATTAAGTCTTAACCGTTTTGAACCTTTTCTTTTGTTGGTCTGGAGCATCTTTCTAAAACTTTTCACATGCTTTTTTAGGCGGAAACGCCTTTTCTCATCTAAATAGTCAACACCAACCACTTTCTGCAAGGTCATCACGCTGTAATGAACTTCTCTAGATCTGGAAAATACCCAGAAACTTTTACAGATTTTCTGTAAGTTTCATCCAGGAAGTCGTTTATTTCCTCCAGCGTGTGCCGATCTCACACGTGTGAGTGTGATTCTGCAACAGAGATGCAGTCAGAATCGGTGTTGTACTCCATCTCCTCCTCACCAGCTACACTCTCCACAACACACAACCTCCCCTCCCAATCCATCGCACCAGCCGCCTGACTTCGGTCAGATTTAGCTGCCGGTGTTCTGTTGATTTATGCTACCTATCGAGATGTGCTACTCTGCGCATGCACATGACCCACAAGTGTGGTCTGTTTCCACGGCCATAAATCCGTGCAACCTTGCTGTTGGCCATGCTGTTGAGACAGTGGCTGATCATCAGCAATATCAAAATATAATCATTATTAGTCTATCAGAATACGCTACCCCTGATATCTTACATGGCATCTAAACATGGCTTAATATAGTAGCCTATTTCAAGATGCTCCACATCTCTTTACGGTAGCTACACATGGAGTGAGTAGTGGTGCGATACAAAATGATTCTGCAGTGGGAGGATTATTTGATAGGGGATATTAGTCTGTCAGAATACGCTACCCCTGAAATGATGTTATAATATCATAAAAAAACAGAAGATATCTTATGGGATTAGAAATGGGAACACATGTGGTGGCATTTTTCGATAGGGCAGAGTGACTTGATAGACTCTGCCATCAATTAGTGCTATGGTAGCATTTTTGACAAGGCAGCATATATTGTCAGAACACCGGCTCTTTCATGCTACCCTCTCCACTCTGTCCGATAACTTTCTATGCTCCTTTCCTTTTTTCTGCTGTAACCCTGTTAACCTGTTACTGCCTCTCTGCCTGAATCAGCTTACTGTTCCCCAATCTGACTGTCTGCCTGCCCGCTGTATCTAGGGTTGCCACCTTAAAATACGGAATCGGCCCGTATTTGAGAACTAACTAGCGTGTTCCGTTTTGAATCAATATCGGGGTGCGTTTTGTCCCGTATTTCCGAGTTGTCTTTAATGCAGCGTCCCAGTCAAATCATCCCACCCACATTCTGAGAAGACTTGTTCTTTTCTACCCCTGACTGGGTAATACTCACTGCCATTGATTTGATTTTTAAAGTTGAGGTATACAGTCAGACACATAAGCATTCATTTAATAAGAGAAAAGAGAGAGATATAGGTTATGCTTAACCAATCTACAGAATTGCATCCTTCAGTAGAATTAACAATAAATAAGGCTGAATAAATAAATACATAAATATATTTACTGACCAATCATAAAAATGGTAATAAATTAATTGAGAAATGTTTGTAGATATTTTAGCCAAAATCTGTGTTTACACCACCCTTTACAATTACTCAAGTTCATTTGCAATTATTTACCCTGTCCATCAACAGCCACATCATAAGCATCGCAGCATCCACTGGTTATGTGGAAAGGATATTTTCCAGAACGACCAACACAGTGACTGCAAGAACAGGTGTGGAGCTCATTAGGAGCTCTTGATCACTCTCAACTTTGAGAAGTCCTGTTCAGTTAGTTTTACTGTAGCTGTTTGAAAGACAACCAGCTACTCAGTGCTGCATGAGTCTTAAAGAGAAAAGAACAAAAAAACATTTATAAAAGGATGTAGGCGCAACATGCTCCAATACTGCACACAAGGCCTACTACTTCTAATCCACTGATCTTCATGATGTTCATGGAAAATCCCTTGCAAAATCGTATCAAAACATTTGTTTTAGCCTGTTTACAGTTAATTAGTTATGGAGATGTTGATTTAATAAGTTAACAAAATACAGTTCACATCCTATTTTTTGTATTGTCGCTGTCACACATTGTTGGCCTATGTATATTATTGTCGTAGCTGTGTATTCAGCTATGACAATATGACCACTAGTCTGTTGAGTTGTGACAGAGAGAGACTTTCCTGAAAACATGTTTTAAGTTATGATTTACCACCACCATCGGGGCTGTGGTTGCTGGGCCCCTGAGGAGTGTGGCCCCCGCTGCGGCAGGCAACCCGTATTTTCTGTTTTGAAGGTGGCAACTAAAAGCTGTATCCCTCTCCTGTCTCAGGCCCAGTCAGCGCAAGACACGGTCCGCCAATCCAGCAGTACGCGCACCCTCCTGTGTTTAGCGGCCGATCCGGCCTCTGGCTCGGAGCGGCCCTCCTTTGGCCTATGAGGACATGCTGTCCTCTTGTGCAGTAACGTTACATCCCCACACTCAGAACGATTCATGCTGCCTGTACTGGCATACACCTTTGTAGGCCTACTGTCCTTCCCCGTGTTTTAGACTTAAGGCATCGTCCAGCGTCTGTGACTGACAGTTCAGAGACATGAACACCTGTCTCCTGAAAGACTGGACATGTTTAAGTTTATTGCTCTTATAGTCCAAACCCACAGTCCTAAAGCCACTCCCTAGCTTCCTGAAGCACTGCAGCTCTCGCTCCAGTGCCTCCAGGAATTTTGGGCTCAATGACAAAAAAATCAAATAGGGCCCCCCCTGCGAAGTTGTTGTCACCACATCTTTATCATCAAAAGCTTTATATATATATAATGTGACTATAAAGGCATGCAACTGTCTTGCTTCTTGTACTTCAATACTAGTACTAATATTTACATGCATTAGATACAACAGATTTTTTTTGTGTGCACGCGCGTGTGTGTGTGCAAGCTTCTCAAATAAATTGCCCTTCATGATGGGAATAATAAAGTCTGTATCGGGAACAGATGGGTTGAGCTGGACCCATACTCCATGCCTCAGAGACAGGAACGGCATCTCAGAGGACACCATCTGCGCCATGAAACACGGTCTGCCGCCCACCAAACACAAAGCAAACACACACCAAGCTACACTAACACTAAGAACAACAGCTACAAAACACTCATACAGTGAATACAGGACGAGAAAAATACAAAAGTTTGAAATCACGCAACTCTCAGCCACACTCACCCGCTCTCCACCACCAAACCGCCAGCATGCAGAGAGAGAGAGGGAGGGGGGAGAAGGAGGAGAAGAAGAGAGAAGTACCTCAAAGGCTCGGTCCAGCTGGTTCATCTCTCTGAGCTGGTTTCCTTTGGAGAAATACAGCTCTGCTCTCACTGTTAGATCACTGGGGTTCTGCTGCAGTGCCCTGTCCAGAGCATCCAGAGCCTGGCACAGACACACACACTAAGTACAGGCTAACACACAGAAATTAGTATACACAGAAAAAGAAACTTGCTGTTTGAGTGTACTTCCTGGCATGACGGGTTAAGATTCACTGCTGGTTTAGACCAGACATCACTAAAAGCCCCCTTCACTATCTGCTACACAAACCATGAAGACGTCTGAAGGAGAGAGGGATGGAGGAAGGAGAAAAAGCAGATGATATGATAAGTCTAAACTGAATTAAAGAAGAGCTAGCCAGACAGACAGAGTACGGAGATGAAGAGCACGATAATGTATTCCTGTCTCTCTGTGCTGAGTAAAGGTGTGTTCACACTGAAAGTGAATCCAGCGTTTTGGGCGGCTTGATTACATACAAAGTCAATGCAAAGACGCAAATTCCTGCGAATTCGCTCTGAGAGGCATGAAAGAGGTGTTCACTGGTTCGCGCAAGTTAAAATTTTTCAACATGGGCGAGAAATTTGCTTGGTGCGATTTTGCGAAAGATTGTCCAAAAGTCACCGGTGGCTTCGGAGCGTTGTTTGGAGAGGACCTGGCGAGCGGTGTAATGACAATCCGCTGGCCAACGGAGAGCTGCTAAAGAACGGGATAGTGTACGGGGAGCAGTGCTGCAGTTTTTGAAGAAATAAACACCCGTAGTCGGTCTGGATTCTGCTCTGACAACTACGCCGTTTACCCGCGGGAGGAGCTCAGAGTTAACTGCTTTTAAATTAGCTTTTTACTTTAGTTTTTGGGATTACAACTTGATTTATCTTCACACGCACTTCTCCGCAGCTAGCTTCCGTGAACATCCGGTTCCACTGTTGTTGTTAGCGTCAGATGGCACCAGAGTTCTGCTGGACTGCTACTTCATATTTATATAAACTGGACAAAGCTGGACATTACTTGGAGAAAAGAAAGCAAGTGTAGTGGCGACAACAGCGAGGAAGTTGGAACTACCTGGTGAGTTCAGAAAATGTGTGTCTGTCACTTTATTCCAGCTATCGTTGTACTTGTTGTTGTACAAACATTTTAAAAGTTGTTGTCCTGCTGTCTTGCTGACAGACCTGAGAAAGCATGAATTGATATGTCTTACAAATCGGAATCATATTGTAGCAACAGTTTGATCCGTTTATTGTAAATCACAGCAAAAGTTTACTTTGGGTTCATATAGCTGTATTCGCAAGTTGTGTTTATTTACTTCGCGTTGTGTGTGAACACCCAAAATGTCCAGTTGTTCAAACTCGCGCGAGTAAAGCGAGGCGAATATTAACTTCGCTTTCAGTGTGAACACACCTTAAGAGCAGTCTCAGCCAGGGCTGGCAATTAACACCCACCAAGCACCAAATGCGGGTAGATTTTCCGTTTGGCGGCTAAATGTTGGAAGACTACTCGCCACATTGGCAGGTAAACGTATTCCGTACGATATTGCTATGTTTTTTGTTGTGTGTCGCACTGAAATTGGTTCTCACTGTAACCAGGGATCTAAAATCGTGTAACACACGGATTAGGGGCGTTCATTGGTTGCTGCTATGTTCATTTCAGGTTTCTTGTGTTCGATTGGCGTAGATTTGTAGGGGGGTGGGAGTTTGGGGGATTGGAGTTGGGAGCCGTCAAGTCGTGCTTGGACTACCCAGAGTGTTTTTAGCATTTAGCTAGCTAGCTACCACCGTAATGTGCATACCTGTCGACCATCCCGTTTCCCCCGGGCCTTTGTATGTGTGCCTCCCACTCACCTTCATGACTCAGTCACTGCCAAAGTCAATGCCCTCAAGTATAATTTCAAAGCCCTTGTACCTTACTTGAGTATTTCAGTTTTATGCTGCTTCATTAAACCCTTATGGGTGTGTAATGTGCTCACACTTACAGACAGGTGGCTATGCGTAGCATCAGATTTTCAACATATGTCACATATTGTACATACACGTACACTTAGGCAAGTCCAATCACACTGACACAGCTCAAACACAAGAAAATATATTCTTACATTATTTTAGTAACAAATGGTCCAGTCCGGATTGATTTTGGTTATAATGTGAAGTAGTTTTCATTGGTCTTGTTGTTATTTCTTGGACTACACTTATATACTGTGTAAATTCTGGTCAGTTGTACGCACAGTAGCTCCTCCATTTCTGCTATGAAAGCATTACTGGGCAATAGTGACAATAATGTTCACCAATACTACACTGGATTTTAGAATGCGTGCTGGCATTTTATCGTACTGACTTGTGAACACTCTTGACTCAGTCTTATTCACATATTTACTGTGAAAATGGGTCGCAGGGAAAGTGAAAGACAGACAAGCACAAGTGCTGATGCTGGTGATAGAACAGAGTGGGAGGATGAGTGGCAGCTGCTTGCCAGCAAATGGCTGCTGGTCTGATGTATAGCAGAGGTGATCAGTTTCCACAGTAACTGTTGGAGGGGAAAACATCTCCTGCTGAGAGTTGATCATTCCTGACTGCAACAGACACCAAGGCGATTAGACGCACGCACACACACACACATTTACTGTCACACACACACACACACACCTCTGTGTAGTTGCCACGCTTGCTGTAGATTGCGGACAGGAGGCGGTAACATTCGATACAGCTGCCTTCTCTGGATATGATGTCAAGGGTCATCTTCTCAGCCTCTTTGGGACGACCTGCCATGGCTAAAACCTGAGCCTGGGACAGATATACAGTGTGTGTGGAACAAGAGAAACAGGTTTTTCAGGATTTGGCAAAATGTGTGTGGCCAGACAGATGTTGTTTTGGTGACTGTCCAGGATGTGGCAGCAAACACACACCCAGATGTCCTGGCATTCCATCATTCAATGAGTGTGTGTGTGTGTGTGTGTGTCTATTCACCAGAGCCAACCAGATGTCGGTACTGTCTGGCTGCAGGGAAGTTGCCTCTCTGTACACCTGCAGGGCCTCCTCGTAGCGTCCTGTGTTGTAGTACAGAGCTCCAAGTGGAGTCAAAATGTCCACCTTCCTCGTCACCTGCAGCGCCCTGTAGGCAAAGGTCAAAGGTCACAAGATGCCTGGCTCACAACAGAACAGAACAGAAGTACAGAACACAGATTGAGAAAGACTTATGCGGTGTCCAAAAAATTCTCCTTCTTTACTATTTAGTGCACTACATTTACCCTTCGCCATTTAATTTCAGGAACAAAATATAGTGCCCATGGCATGTACACGTCTTTCTGCTAATAATCCCACAACATGTTGTTGGGTGACTCAATTCATATTATATAATTATATCATAATTATCCAAAATCCTACCGAGTATATGTTTTGTAGTGAGTAGTGAATGAGTAAATTTTACATACAGAACTAGTCTATTTGTGTCTCTGTCTCAAAATTAATCAATAGATAATTAATTGATGCTAAGATAAAAAATAAAGCGGGGTTCGAAAGTACAACACATTAACAACTCTGTAAATTTCCCGACTCCAACATTTTAGGAAATAAACATCTTTGCTTTCTTGCCAGGAGTTAGATGAGAAGGTCAATCTTCTGGGCTTATAAATATTTTTGCTCCAGGTCACCCTGAGTAGAAACCTGACTTAAGCTGCTGCTAAAATAGGATCCTTTCTTCACCTCTTGTACCAAGACTCGGCTTCTTTGTTCTCATTGGAGGATCGGAGCAGGCGGCCCAGGTTCACCATGGCAACGTAGTGTGCTGGTTTGAGTCTAACAGCTTGCTGGTAGTGAGCAGCTGCCAGCTCACCTTCTCCTTGAGGAGAGAAGAGAGCAAAGACAAAGAGGAAGGAAAAGAAGCGGGTGGACAGAGAAAAGGCATCAAGGAATGGGACAAGAGTGGTAGAGAAATCAGGAAAAAGATAAGAAACATGTACAGCAGGGAAAGAAAGATGATAGAGATAGGTATAGAAAAAAACAAAGGTGAGGTAGTGAGGCAGGAGGCAGATGGAAGGAATGGTGGAAGACCATCTATTAAATGTATGTGACCAGAATTTCCAAATTGAATACCATCTACTGCTCATTTATTATGGAAGCTTTTATTATAATATAAGACTATTATTTGAAACCCACAAATTTCAAATTCAAAGTACATTAATCTAAAGTCAGAGTAAAACTAAAAGTGACCCTAAGTAGCCTCTACGGGTTCTATATTTATGGCGGCACAATGACCAGCAGAAGCAGTGCTCTGACAGTTTGGTTCTTTCCTGTGGTTAAATTGGCATAACTATAAAAATAACATTTCATGTGGTTAAAGCAGGAATGTCAGTAAATCAAGCTGCATTTATCTATAAATGAATAAATGGTTGTCCATAGCTGATTTACAGCCTACTGTATGCAAAGTTTCTCCTTCAGTTCATTAAGTCTCTGCTGCCTCTGATTTGAGAAGTGCTGCATCAGAGTGCAGTGTCATCACATACAGCCATCTACTGTATTTACCGTCATTAAATAACATACAATTCCACACACGTCAGACATGTATAACTTGATATTCTGGTTGTTTATAAGGACATGTTGGATAACTGTTGCACTAGTTGTTACTGAGCAATTAAAATATGGCCCTATTAGTCTAAACAGGTCAGTTTCCATGACTGAGGAACGACCAAAGCAAACTGAGCAACTTGTCATAATAAACATATTTGCTAGGACCAACAGCACTGATATATCACAGTTCACCTGACACTCAAATGCCTCTTTCTAACCCTAACAGAGAGCTGACCTGGAACACAGACACCACCTGCATCCTGTCTAATCTACAAGGAGATGAGACATGTGACTTCCTCCATAAAAGCTCCTGTTGCCTACATGTACACTAAATAATCCAGTTAGTCTCTTCTGACTGAAGTATACTTGGGAGCACAGGCTGTTGCTTGGTGGTGTGTTAGGTAGCTTTGTCTTTGGAAGATTTAGAGTCTGTGGACACAAAGCATTATAATCACATGCTATCTTGCTGGAAAGTAAAACTGGATATTGTGATAAAAAACAGCAACAGACTTTTCAACAAGCATGTCCACTCTGTGGCCACTTTATTAGGAACACCCATACCTAATGCAATTCAATTTCAATTCTGCCATAAACTCTACTTTACAGGGTTTATAAGGTTTACTTTTTGCTGACATTGTAGAACATGTGTGTTATGATATGTTTATTATTAAGGTCATAGTTAAAGATAATGTTGCACTACATCATATTTAGAGGTTTTTCTAATTTCTTTGTACAGTAAAAACCATCACCAACTATGACCTCTATGCTAAAATATTTAATATTTAATAAAACACCTTGTGATGTAAATTCTAATTACCCTCAATTTAACTTTAATTAAACAACCAACACAGTTTGATTTTGCATTTAGGTTTATTATCATTTTTTGACATGCATCATTTCTAGAAGGAGGGCACTTGTTATGTCATCTTTAAGCTGCATTGAAATAATTTTCTTTCTTTTGAGGTGCTGGTCCCCTCAATGTAAAAGACTCACTGATACAATGGGTCTGTACTGAATTGGTGAATGGGTGAATGTGTCATGTCACATTCACCTGTTCACACACATTGACAAACTCATGGCAGAGGTGCAGACTGCGCATCAGAAAGGAACTAATCATTGGAATACTTTGGGGTTCAGCACCTTGCTCAAAAACACCTCGACATGCAGACTGTGGTAGCTGGGGATTGAACTACCAAGCTTCTGATTAGTGGGCGACCTGACCCTGCCCCAGCACGGGGATTTTGGGGAGAGAGCCTTTTGTTTGTAAATTGTCTATGTAGTGAGTATTTGTAGTTAAGAGAGTGATTGTGTTTTGTTCACCTCTTGTGTATGCTAAATAGTTTGACCTGCCATTATATATCTTCCCCTCCTGTCATTAGTTATGTCAGTTTTGTCTTTGTTGAGGTCAGAAGTCAGAACTGAATTGGATGAACTGACCTCAACAAAACAATGTATTTTCAGTTCAGTTCTGTTTTGTTGACCTCTTTTAGGAATTTTTTGATAATCTAATTTTGGCAAAACATCGTGCAGACTAATTGTTGGCTCTGACAGATTAGATCTCTGCAGCCAGTTTTAGTTCTCTGGTAACAAGTTGATTTGTATAATGTAATATCCTGAACTGAACTGAAGTTCACTGAAATCAGTGGCTCCCTGAAAGGTAGAACATTTTAAAAACATCAGCAATGCTTAACAAAATATGCACTTTACTATTAATGGGCCAAATCAGCAGTTAAGATTAAATTAGGATTAAAAAACAGCACAGTCCTTTAAAAAAACTATGAGGTATGTAGGAAGTGGTTGAATATTACTGTAAACCTGTGTATATCTATGCATTATAAGGCTATGGTGTTAAAGGGAGCCTGAGTTTACCCACCAGCCCTGGGGCCAGAGAGCTGCTTGGTTCAACTCACCCGTATCCACCAGAAACACTCCGTAGTTATTATGCAGGTCAGAGCTGTCTGGACAGTTCTCTATTCCTTTCAGATACACTTCATTGGCTTCAGCAAAGCGTTTCTGTGGGAGAATAAAGATAGAATGAATACAAGACACGAACTAGACCATGGTTACAGGAAGCTGTAGTTTGTGCAACTGCCAAACAGATTAGCCAGCTACATATTAAGTTAATTTAATTCAGGAGTTATGAAGTAGTGATAAGTTACAACCCGCCTTCAGGCACATAAGTCAAATGTGCTACTAATTTATATGTATGAATGCGTTGTTTCACCTGCTCAGCATAGAGTGATGCCAGACTAGAATAAGCATCAGCGAAATGTGGACCATAACGTATGGAGTCCTTCAGCAAAGTCTCAGCCTCTTTCTCCTTCCCCTGGGACCTGGAACACAGCATCATCATCATCCTGATCATCATCAACAGCCCTGTCATCATATGTTCATCATCATCATCGTTTCCATCAACAATATCATTAGCCATTAGACAACTCCCTACCCATCCGTGTGTATACATGGCAAGCTTGAGGCGGAGACCAGCAGTAAAGACCACCCAGGGTACAGAACAGAGCAGGCATTAATAAATTGCATTACATTTACTCATTTGGCAGAGGATTTTATCCAAAGCGACTTACATTTGAGGAACAACTTACAACCATCAACAGAGCATCAATACAGCACGAGATCTACAACTGACAACACATACTAGTAAGCAATAAACACTAGTAAGCGCTAATAGCACATACATTACGGCATCAATGGGAGAGTTAACAAAAAAGTGCAATCGATATAAGAGAATTAGAAGGGGATAGAAAAAGAAGAGCACAGGAAGTCCATGTTAGAGGTTAAGGGTTAGAGGTGTATAAGAGAAAGTGTTCTCGGAAGAGATGAGTTTTGAAGAGCTTCTTGAAGTTAGAGAGACACCTCTGCTCTGATGGCATGTGGTAGCTCGTTCCACCAGATTGCTTTGTATGAAGGGTGAATTTGATTCAGGAGGCCATGGGTAGCCAGTGGAGGTCACACAGTAATGGAGTGACATGAGTCCTTTTGGGCTGATCAAAAACCAGACGTGCTGCTGCGTTCTGAATCATTTGTAGGGGTTTCACCGCACAAGCTGGAAGACCCACTAGGACGGAATTGTAATAGTCGAGGTGAGAGATAACCGTGGCCTGTATCAGAAGCTGGGTGACATACTGAGTACACTGTAAAAAAAAATTGTAATTTTACAGTTTTATTGCTTTTTATTTTACAGATTTTTTCCTGTATTTTTGAACTACATGAAAATATCAAAAAATTGCAAAACAAAAAAAATAACATGAAAAACCTGTAGCTGTGAATAACAATAACATTCATGTTATTTTAAAGAAAATATTAAATCATTTTTTTTGATGTAAAAAAACTGTTCCAATACATTCAGGATTGTATTTTCACAAATATTATTTGTCTTATTTAAGACACTGTTAAATTTAAGTTTAATACTGTAAAAACATTTCTTAAACTTGGTACAATTAGTAACAGTTAACCGTAACAAAAACATGTGTTCTGTAATTTGACATAGATTTGCTTGTTAATTGATACATATCTCCTATAATTATGGGTATTTGGAATATGGAATTTGGAAATAAAAACATTGAATAAATGTTATTTTAATAAGTCTATAATGTCTACAAGCATTTGATAACTGAAAACAGCCACAATCCATCGGAAGATCCACAGGGGTCGGTACCTTGACGGACCAGACCCGGGTGGCAGAGGCTGGCTCTGGGGACGTGGAACGTCACCTCTCTGTGGGGGAAGGAGCCGGAACTTGTGCGGGAGATGGAGCACTACCGATTAGATCTGGTGGGGCTGACCTCCACGCACAGTCTTGGTTCTGGAACTGTACTCCTTCATAGGGGATGGACACTATTCTTCTCTGGAGTTGCTCAAGGTGTGAGGCGCCAGGCAGGTGTGGGGATACTCACAAGTCCCAGCTGAGCGCCGCTACGTTGGAGTTTACTCCGGTGAACTAGAGGGTTGCCTCCCTACGCCTTCGGGTAGTGGGGGGGAAAACTCTGACTGTTGTTTGTGCATATGCACCAAACAGCAGTGTAGAGTATTTGGCCTTCTTGGATGGAAATCTCCTGAATGGAGTTCTGTATGGGGCTCCAGTAGGGGACTCCACAGTTCTGCTGGGAGACTTCAATGCGCATGTGGGTAATGATGGAGATACCTGGAAAGGCGTGATTGGGAGGAACGGCCCCCCTGATCTGAACCTGAGTGGGTGTTTGTGCCTCTGCTGTGGCAGATGCAAAGCAGCGGGTGTGGGAGAAGTTCGGAGAAGACATGGAGAAGGACTTTCAGTCGGCACCAAAGTGTTTCTGGAGAACTGTCCGCCATCTCAGGAGGGGGAAGCGGGGAACCGTCCAAGCTGTGTACAGTAAGGATGGGACCCTGTTGACCTCAACTGGGGAGGTAATTGGGCGGTGGAAGGAACACTTTGAGGAACTCCTAAATCCGACTGACGACAAGTTTCTGACATCCCAGGTGTTAAATCATCTTACAAGACTTTCATTTGTTTTAAATATTTCATCACTTTTTAGAATCAGAATCTAAATCTGCAACATCTATAGAAATTAATATTCATTTATTCTATAAAAAAAATAGCATTATCTGTTGTGTCTTGTCTTAGTGAAGTTATTTTGTTTTACCTGTGTTTTATTTAGTTATATATTATTTATGCAAATCTTTCCTCTTGTAAAACCTGCATTTACTCTAGTAGAGGCAGAGCTGGAGGCTGATGGGGGTTTCTCGTCAATTTCCCTGGTGGAAGTCACTGAGGTAGTCAAACAACTCCACAGTGGCAAAGCCCCAGGGATTGATGAGATCTGCCCAGAAATGCTAAAAGCTTTGGGTGTGGAGGGGCTGTCTTGGATGACACGTCTCTTTAACATTGCGTGGAAGTCGGGTACAGTGCCCAAGGAGTGGCAGACTGGGGTGGTGGTTCCCCTGTTCAAAGACAAAGGAAGTCTCTGTGCAGGAGTCCAGAAGTTACATCCCCTTCCACCCATTGTAGCAGTGTGCCTTACTTCCATCACTGTCAGGACATCTGATTGGATAAGGCAGGGTACATGTGCATATGTGCATATCAAGATGCTGATCAGACAGCATGGGTATTGCACAGGTGTGCCTTAAGTGTGAAGTTTCACTGTATTGATTGTGAACTGTGGGTGCCAATTACAGAGGTATCACACTTCTCAGCCTCCCCGGTAAAGTCTACTCTAAGGTGCTGGAATGGAACTCTCACAAGGATCCTGGAGTGGGCCCATCCAGTCTACATGTGCTTTGTAGATCTGGAGAAGGCGTATGATTGGGTCCCCCAGGAGATACTGTGGGAGGTGCTGTGGGAGTATGGGGTGAGGGGGGCCCTTCTCAGGGCTATCCAATCCCTGTACATCCAAAGTGAGAGCTGTGTCCGAGTACTCGGCAGTAAGTCAGACTCTTTCCAGGTGAGGGTTAGCCTTCACCAGGGCTGCGCTTTGTCACCAATCCTGTTTGTGATATTCATGGACAGGATATCGAGACGTAGTCGTGGCGAGGAGGGGCTGCGGTTCGGTGGACTTGGGATCTCGCCACTGCTTTTTGCGGATGATGTGGTCCTGATGGCATCATTGGTCCGTGACCTTCAGCTCTGGATTGGTTCGCAGCCGCGAAGTGGTTGAGATGAGGATTAGCACCTTTAACTCTGTGGCCATGGTTCTCAGCAGGAAACCGGTGGAGTGCCAACTCCAGGTAGGGAATGAGTCCTTACCCCAAGTGAAGGAGTTCAAGTACCTCGGGGTCTTGATCACGAGTGAGGGGAGACTGGAGCAGGAGATTGGCCGGAGAATCAGAGCACTCGCTTTACCGCACCGTTGTGACGAAAAGAGAGCTGAGCTGTAAGGCAAAGACAGGCATTCTGTGCCTGACCTCACAGATGCGCTTCTACAAGAATGGTCAAAAATTCCAATGGACACAATCCTAAAAGCTGATTACCAGTTTAAGAACAGTATTTTGACCTTTTTTAAATGGAAAATCTATTGTTTGCGAGTCATCATTTTTTTAGATTAAACATTGATTACATTTACAAGATTTTTATGTAAAATTATATAATAAAACTTCCACAAATGATTTGTATTATAGCGGTGTTCAACTGTATTTATTGGTAATTTAATTGTTTTTACAGGTGTATATGTTCTTCAATAAACATTAAAAGCCCCAAAATATTTTTTGTAAAAAGAAAGTTACAACTGTACTGTATTGTCATCATGGAATATTACCGTACTTTTACGAGTTAGTTATTTACTGTTATTTAACGGTATTTTTCTGGCGCCCCAGCTGCCGGAATATTTCCTATTTTTCACCTTTTTTTTTAACAGTGTAAGATGGGACCGGATTTTTCTTATGTTGTATAGAGCAAAGCGGCACAACCAAGAGACAGCAGCAACATGGTCTGAAAAGGACAGCTGGTCATCAATCATGACACCCTAGTTTCTTACCACCTTGGTTGGAGTGATGGTTGGGGAGCAAATTTGTAGTTTGTTGTTGTGGTGGATAGATTGCTTGGCTGGAATGACCAAGAGTTCAGTCTTAGAGAGGTTTAGTTGAAGATGGCGAGACTTCATCCATGCAGATATGTCCGAGAGACGCGCTGAGATGGTGGGATCGTCGGCAGGAAGGATAGGTAGAGTTGCGTAATCATCTGTGTAGCAGTGGTAAGAGAAGCCGTGCGTACTGGGGTGAGGTGGTGTAAATTGAGAAGGGGACCTAGCACCGAGAGTTGGGGAACCCCTGTGGAGATTGAGTGGGAAGAAGATAATTATCCTTGCCCCAAAACATTGTAGGAACTCCGAGAGCCAGGATTCAAACCACAGGAGTGCTTTACTCGAGATGCCTGTTGCTGAGAGTGCGGGTAACAGGATCCTGTGATTGACTGTGTTAAAGGCAGCTGATAGGTTGGCAGGATAAGAACCGAGGACTGGGCTGCAGCTTTAGCTTCTGTGACAGACAAAAGTGCCGTTTCGGTAGAGTGGCCACTCAGCCAGACTGTAAGTACAGAAAGACATGACTAATCAGATACGGCCTGCAATGGAGTGGTGGATGGTGGCGGCAGATTACAAGCTGCTTGCAGAGGAAGCAGCAAGGGCAGGCAGGCTATAGCAGCTTAAATAAGGCGCCTTGTATGGAATTTGCCAATGAATGCTAACAGAGTTATCAGCTGTGAGCTGAGCTGGACTTTGTTGCCTCCCTGAACTAACGCTATGCTTCATTTATTATCATCATTAGCAGAAATTCGATCGTGGTCTCAGGTTGTCCTAAAACAAATCATTGTCAGTACTAGCTTTCCCCTGACTATAGCAGCAATATTTCTTACAATCATCCTGATTAGTAGAAGCTATAATAGCATACTCTCATCACCATTATCATCATAATCATCAGTAGGAGTTATATTATTATAGTCATCATTATCATCATCTTCACCGCTGTCATAATCAACATCATCATCAACAGAAGCAAAATTAGCAATTGTACACAAATCAACACATGGACAAACAAACACACAGTGCTGTTGTGGGCTTGCAGCAGTGGATCGATGGTGTGTTTGTTCTCACAGCTCCACTGATAACACAGAGGTGGTCTGAGCCATAATAATGGACTTCGTTTCAACTGCAAATATTGATGTAATTTTCTATTAGTGCCAGCAGAGCTCAGGTCAGTCTATGCTGTTTGACCGACCAAACAAAAGACTCCCCAGCTGTATAAACAGCTGGTCTGATTACAGTGGCGGTGTCATCACAAGTGTTGCATTATTTTTTAGGCCCGACAGCCTCTGACCATTTATTTCCAGCTATGTTTTATGTTTTAACATTTCTCTTAATTCTGTTTGTGTCCACATTGACAGACCATGACTCCAATGTAAATGCTCTGTACTTGTATAGCGCCTTTCTTTTTGACCACTCAAAGCGCTTTTACACTACATCTGCATTCACCAGTCACACACATTCATACACTGAGCCTAAGTGCTCAAACGGAAACTAACATTCACACTCATACACTGGCGGAACAGCTGCCAGGGGCAATTTGGGGTTCAGTATCTTGCCCAAGGACACTTCGACATGCAACCAGGGGGAGCCAGGGATTGAACCTTCCGATTAACGGCCAACCCGCTCTACCTCCTGAGCCACAGCCGCCCCGGTTCAGTAGTGCAATGAATCATGGTCAATGAGTTTAACAATGGTTTGTTGATTGAAAACTATGTGGGTGACCTGAAAGCAATCCACAACAAAAATGTACTAGGCAGAGAGTTGACTTTCCAACCCAGGTCTGATATTTCTAGGGAGACACTGACATATACAGGTTTTTTCCTACGTTCCATCCTCCTCCTCATCATCATCATCATCACCACAGGCTGCAACAGTCGCATTTTGTAACCATCTTTGGACACAGTGCTACTAAATGTTATACCTAGGAGCAGCACCAGTAGCTAACGCTAGGCTCTTGTCATCATGACAATTCAGGATGGGCAATTCTACGAAGGATGTCCTCTATATCTGGTCCATAAGTGCTCTTGTTTTTTTCCATAATAACAGTATGGGGACAGATGCACTGATACAATTGAACAGCTTAACAATTAAAGATGTTTTTTCTGTTGTTGTGATCATTCTTGGGAGCTGAGGGGGAGAAAATATACTTAAGAAGTTGTTGTAAGAACATTAAGAATGTCACCAGCTGTTAGGGCCACTTTTGGGAGCTCTTTGGAGAGCTGAAAAAATACTTTCTTTCCACTAGAAAGATGTTAACATGATTTCTGCAAAGTCTCCAGATGTGGATAGTGTCTTTCGTTTCTGTCACATTTCACAAAGTGACGGTAAAGCAGTATCGTGTGATCAAAAGTGGGTGCTATCACCGTACAGCTGTTCTCCAATAGCTTTTAAATGTGAGTGTGTCTTACTTGAGGAGGTTTCCAAGGTTAAACAGAGCTCGGTTATGCTGAGGGTTTGTGTCCAGTGCTCTCCTGTAGTAGCGCTCAGCCTCCTCTGGGTTGCGAGTTAGAGTGCCGAGGTTGTTCATGGCGCTGGCATGGCGGGGGTATAACCTGAGAGGGAAGAAATGGACACAAAAAAACAGGAGAGGGGAGGTTGGAAAGAGGAGGAGAGAAAATAAGGAGACAGAACAAGAGTCCAATTCAATTGATAGTATACAGTCTGCAGAATAACTGCAAATGTTTGACTTAAGTAAACCTGTAATAACTGACTTTTTTCCCAAGTAGTGAACACAACATTGAAATATACATACATACACACACTTTTTAAGTTGATATGGTGAACAAACAATAGCTTATTTACACATGCAACATTCGCTTGGAGTGGTGTTGAAAGTCGTCTGTAACAAGCATTACAGTCAAACTATGTTCATATTAGGAACCACTAATGGCTGCACACTTCCAGAGGGAAGCATAGCATAACATGATCTTGTTTGGACAAAGTGCCTTGTGACAGTGATAAGGATTGTCTTAAGAGCAATTGGTGATGATAACTCAGCAGCAAGTGTGGGGAATCTGCGTCCAACAGGCTCTCTGCTGACATTTACTGCTGCTCTCCATCACTGCAAGACCTCTGTGTGATTAAAATACACTTTTATAGTTAGTGCCCATTATGGTGACTCAAGCCTCAAGACACAGTGGGCAATGCTCTTCCCTGTTCCTATGGTAACTTTGTTACCCCTTTTTAATGGGTTGGCATTGCCTTGTGCAGAAAAAGATGCAGTCGTGGAAAAACCTGAGAGAAGCCAGCACTGATCAACAGAGGGAGAGCCGTCACATAACACCAGTGGCAGCCTTAAGCATCTGGAATGATGAATGACCTGTGGAATGATGGACCATCATTCCACAGTTCACAATCAATACAGTGAAACTTCACACTTAAGGCACACCTGTGCAATACCCATGCTGTCTGATCAGCATCTTGATATGCACATATGCATATGTACCCTGCCTTATCCAATCAGATGTCCTGACAGTGATGGAAGTAAGGCACACTGCTACAATGGGTGGAAGGGGATGTAGCTTCTGGACTCCTGCACAGAGACTTCCTTTGTCTTTGTTCGAATGGGGCCTGATGCTGTAGTGACAAGCTCTTAAGTGCAGAGACACAGCTCATGCAAGGTTAACGCCTCCCAACATTCAAGTCTATTGTCCACAGCTTTAATTAAATTCTAAGCTAGTTTCAACTAGCTGTACCAATTCAAATCAACACAAATGCTAAAAGTTCTAATTGAGTTTCTGTACTCACCAATGAGGTCAGTTACAGCTTCCTTCTCCTTAGAGCCTTGCTGCTAGCGTGGCTAAAAATCACCAAAATTAGGAAAACTAAGGAAACCTAACCTAACCTAAGGAAACAGATGTAACAGCATCTGCTTACATCCCTATGTCATATACACTTCTGGAGGAGACTTAAAGAATTAACTTATTGACTTCTTTCAAGTGCTCATTATGTGTCCTTGTCTCCTCGCTTCTCTATACAGCAGCCTATGACCTGGAAATCAGTCAAAGGATGCCATTAATAAATCAATACCTTTAGGATTTAGTCAGATTTCTCTACTTCTAGTTGATGGATTATGTCTGACTTTGGGAATCAAAATTGCCCTGTTAATTAAAGTAAGTTTGAGAGGTCGGGTGGGTTTGAGGTTAATTATGAGCTGGGATGTGGTTTGGCGCTGGATGAAAGCTATTGGGGCTCTCTGCTCAGGGTTGGTAGGCTGGATTAGCAGAGAGCCATTGTACCGTGAGTGCATCGCAGCACACAACTCTGCTGCTACAGGAAGATGCAGAGAATGAAAAGGAGAGGTGGAGAAGAAGAGAAAAAAGATCTACGTGACCACCTCAAGTCAATTTCAGACAGGTTGCAATCATGTAGCGTGATAGTTGTCAAGTTTAAATGACAGACAGTTGGTGGACAGAGTTCCATTAAACTTGTAAGCACATCATATTGTAATGAAGACTGATTACCATCACCTGTGTTAGGGGGTGGGCAGGATCATGCAGTGATAAAGGGAGTGTTTTGAACGGCCCAATTTGGCTGATAGAGAGACTAAACTACTTTAGTCTGTGGCTGTGGTGGGAGGGTGCTATTCGCTACTTTTAGTGTTCCTGGCAGTGAAGATAGCCGGCAGGGGTCTGTTCCTGTGTTAGGAGGGGAGGCACGCGCCTTTAGGTAGAGAGGGACCCGGATCTAGTAAGTGCCTGTGTCTGTGTTTGACTGTTTCTCAAGTCGACATGCCAATCCAAGTGATTTTCCGCAGCCAGGGTTTGAATCCAGCTTATGGTTTGGAGTGGTCTTATTGAATGTGTTGCATTTTTATATGGTGTCTCGGCAGTTTTTCAGGGTACAGGTTGCTGTGTGGTTGATACAGTATGCAGTGGTCCTCTCGGGTACAACCATCAACAAGAGAGGTATAAAATTCTACTCATTGTCACAGATAAATAGCTGCCAGATTACAGATGGACTAATCTGAAAAAAGGACAGAAGGATGGAGGCGTACACATGAGAGAGGAGAGGTTGAACCACATCTCTGTGGTTCCTCAGGAAGCCTCTGCAGTGACAGGAACAATTAATGGACACTCTCCTCATCAAGGCAGCCTGTGTGTATGATAGATGAATAGAGCACAAGCTTGCAGCTGAAACCAGGCCATAACGTGCATGAACTTGCTCCAATTAAAATGCATTATTCTGAAATAAATTAATTGCACTTTAATCAATTAAGAAACAATAGACAAATTAGGCAACAATATTGTTGTTTAAATGAAAAATTAACCCACATATTTGTTGCACATTGTGTTTTTGCACCAGGGAATGTTATGCACTTTCTTGTGTTGGGTGATGAGATAATAAAATTGAATGTGAAATAGACTTTTCACTTACAAACTCTTAATCTAAAAAAATTACTGCAATTTGGACCTTTGCAGTTGAATTTGAATTGTGCCCTGATTTCATGACAGGATTACACCAAGCTTCTTTTTGGAAATCTGGCAACAGTATAAAAATGGCCATGAAAAATTTTGTCATAAAAAATGTCATTTTACATTCAGTTTCATTATCATTACGACAGTGTTGTGTTTAGGAATACACTAAAATTGTCAGTGAAGTTTTCCTTACACCTTTTCATTGTGGCAGTAATTATGCATTTTCAAAAATGAAAAGACAACAAGAGCTCATGCAGATTTTAGTAACAAAAGTTTTGTGTGACAAATGTATTTGCATAAAATCCCTATAACAACCCTTGCATTTAGGTTCCAATGTCACAATACTGTATGACAATGTATTACAAAAAAGCCCTTATGCTATTTTAAACTTACATTGACTCTACCAAAGACTGTGTGCAAATTCCTGCATGGAAATTCTACGTCGCAACACATTTGCTTTAAATTGTCTGCTTAATCAAGAAATGTGTATAAAGCTATGTCACAATATATTTGATTTAAAGGGATAGTAAGTAGTTGTAATCAAATACACTTCATGTTAAATAATACATAATATATGGAGCAAAGGAAGGTTCTAGCAAATGTGTTTTGACATACTGTGATTTATGCAAATAAAAACCAATTAATGGTGACATAGGCACTTGTTATGCAAATGTGTGTGCATATTCTGGAGTCCAATGAGCTTAATAAAAGATAACATTTTGGTAAAGATTGAGTCGTGTTTTGAGACCTTGTGTAGTATGCAAAAGAAGGTCATCAAAACCTTCCAGGAATATGGAAACTTGAAACAGTGATTTATGACCATCATAACCAATCATTTCTGCAGTACTAAATTAAACTGATGGCTCATACAGCTCCACAGATATTGCACAGATTCATGTCGATACAATTCAGACAGAAGTTATGGAAAAACAAGCCACTTACTGCATTATTTTCTATACCTTCAGCACAATTCTTCGGGGCCTTGGTAGCTGTTTGACTGCTCACATTACATGCAATCATTTTTATTTTTAGCCAAACATTTTAGGGTTTTTGCTGGGCATTCAGCTGTAGCCTAGGGCTGGACGAAATGCCCAAAAATGTTATCACGATAAAAAGTGTCATATTTTTCAATATCGATAATTATCACGAGAAGTATCAAACCGTTATTTCTTTCTGATTTAAAGGCTGATTTTTGCTCCTGAGTTAAAGTTAAAGGAACCTGATGGTTAATTGTGGTTTAAACCAGGGGCATAGGAGCGACTTTGAACCTGGGGGGGATGCAGAAGGGCTGGGGGGGTTCGGGTGCATTCCCCCCCGATTTTTTTTTTCATTTCTAATGACTTTTGAAAACAGAATGTATTTATTAGTGTGGCTCAAAGAGGGTATTTGCAGTGACAGAAGATGGAGAATAGAATGGAGAGGGGAGATTATGAAAACTCTGGTGCAGTTTAATATAACTTGAACAAAACCGACTACATACCATAAAAACCATGGAACAGCTGCTAGTTAATGTAGCTAGCCACAGTACAAATGTATTTAGTTATCCTAATGTTAGACTTGTGAGCTGTCTGTGATATTTCCTGTATCTAACTTGGCCCTGACTCTCCCTGTAACAAATGTTTGTGAACACAGAACTGTCTTCAATGCAAACTCTGATGACATGCCAATGGCCTAACAAAATCTTTTACTATGTGAATATTAGAATATACAGTATGTCTAGTAGCTATCCATACAACTTACAAGCTCATCCTACTTTGTTTTTTCTACTCCTACTCCTGTGACCTCTGACCTCTTCCTCTTAAAATACTGCAGGATGCTCGTCTCTGTGTGACAATTTTGACTACTTTTAAATTGTTTATGGACACGTAGCAGAGACACATACACACCTCAGGACACAGGGTTTTAAGGTCAAGGACAGGCACAAACAAATGGCCCAGGAGTTTGTCCCTGGTCAGCCCACTCTCCAGACAAAGCATTTGCTGGGGCCTCTGGGTCTTCAGAGACCTTTATTCCTGCATTCTTGAGAATTTTATGCAATTACAGTACAACTAAATGAGCCTTTAAAATACATTTTCAAAACTAGAAACTCCTCTCTTACTCTCCTAAAGTTCTGCTATTGCCCTCATCTCTGCTGTCTGTTGCATGTTCACCATATCAGAGCTAGTAGTGGTGCCGCTGGCCAGTGTTGGGTAGCTACTCAAAATCTCTACTCAAGAAAAAGTACAATTAATCCCATAAAAATTCAATCTAAGTAAAAGAAAAAAATGACAAACCTACTCAAGTAAAAGTATAATATATTTAATAAAACATTTAATCTGCTGTTCATCAGGTTAGAAACAGCTGAGCAACAGGGTTATTTCTGGAAATGCAATTTGCTGTGCTTGTTGATTAATTTAGCTTTTATTGTGGCAGTAACATGCAGCAGCTCATTGTTGAAGCAGGTAAACCTACATACAGAGGAAGCTGCGCGTCATGCATAAAGCCCAACAGGACTGTTTTATCCACCATATTTTCTCTCTCTCTCTCTCTGCGTGAGTTAATAACAGCGGGAAGCTGCTGAGTGAAAGCCATGATTAGTTTCACCTGCAACATTCTGTTTACGGACTCACCGTCGGACAGCGCTAAAACAAATAGTAGCCTAACTTATGTGAAATAACAGGCTAATGTCTATCAAAAGAAAGCGATGCTCTTTTCAACAACAGGATACTGTTAATATATCAGAGTCAATCTGGTGATCATCTGGCTTAGATGTTACAGAGTGAAGTCTACGTTTGCTCTGCAAAGAATACGCTTTAAATGCGCCGTTAATGGAAAGTGAAAGTACTTTTTACCGGTTTGTTAAAGAGCGACGCATGAAGCTTTCCAACACGGCCAGCAGTGCCATGGTGTGCTCTCACTAGATTTCAGTCGTATTAGTAGAACAATAAAGCCTTAAAATGAAAAGACTTGCCTGATTTTCTAAATGTTTGCATCTGCCCAGCTCTGTGACTGTGACAAGCACCCGACATCAGCGCTCTTCTGCGTAACTGCACACAGCCTGGCTGACCGCTCATTTCGGTTAATGAGGCCGGATGCATATTACAGACTGGTTAAATTATGAAGGTATCAACGAAAATGTAGCGCAATTAAAAACTGATTACTGGCCTAAAGAAAATCCTAGAGTAAAGAGTAAAAGTTTTAAAAAAGGATCATGAAAATGTGCCAATGACTTTGTTTATTTTATTTATTCATTTTGCAAATTTGCGTTACTCTGCTGCATGCGTCCTCACTACTGTCTTCAGGCAAGTAACAGCAGCACAAAAGAAAAGTCTGTAATATCAACCCGCTGCACCAGCCTCGAGTGAACTCTTTTTTTCCTCCCTTGAGTTTTCAGCACCACTTTTGTGTGGTGTCGGACTTTTTCTAGAGGCCTAACGTTAGGCTACATGTTTTTTGTCCGCGTTTCAACTTTAATCATGCCTGATACAGAGTGTGATTGATTGACTAGTCACTCAAACCGCACCTGCTATGAGCCAACTCCGAAATCGCCTGAAAAAAGTGAAGGGGACAAAACATCGATTTTGAAATGTGGGGGGGGGGGCATGTCTTACACATCTTATTAAAAAATTAAGTCCTAATTCGTGTATAAAAAAGTGAATAAAATCAAACATTTATTGAATATTTATTGAACATTTATTATTGTTATTGAAAAAAAAAAATCGATAATTATTGATATTGTTTTATTGTCCAGCCCTACTGTAGCCTGACTAGGGTCTACTAGGGTGACTGTCCGAAGGAGGAATAGTCGTAAGCATTCAAAGTCCACGGGGCACCATCAACCTGTTCACATTTCTAACAGATTTTCCCCACTCAGCGACACACCCGCTGAGAAACCAACTCTGATCATTGGCAGCTCCATTTTGAGAAACGTGAATTTAGCGAAGCCAGCGGCCATAGTTAAGTGCATCCCTGGGGCCAGAGCGGGCGACATTGAGTCTTATTTGAAACTGCTGGCTAAGGATTGTGGTGTCCGAACGATAATGCTGCGATGATGTGTTGAGAAGAAATCCGCTTGACACTGTTCTTGATTATAAAAGTTTATTACATCAAAGAATTCAGCATCAATTACAAGCTCTGCAGCAGCTTGGAGAGTGACCCAGCCCGATGGCCACTCTGTCTCTCTGTACATCAACACAGCTTATATAGGACATGTTTAGGTCTCTGCTAAAAACCATATAAGGGCACAGTCCTTCATACACACTAATCTCTACCCCTACCACTGGGTCAGAGGTCAAATTCCATAGAAGGGTTCACTCTTTGCACACCCAT